TAATTTATAATATTAGCCTAATATTAGCCTATAATATATTATTAGCGCTGTCGATATATAATCCGCCTCTGCCTACCGGTAGAGAAGATTGTATCGGTTACGATTACTATCTGTACTATCAATAATATCGATTGCCAATACTATCGTATTGGCAATCTTGAATAAAATTGGAACATCATCAATGTAATCGAAGTCAATTAAATTCGCATTATTAAGGATAACTCAAAAACTACTGGTCAGATCTTGATCAAATTTATATGGGACATGAGAAGCACCAGCTTTCAAATGAAAAAGAATCATCAAAATCAATTCACATAGAAAAAAGTTCCGAGGTAAAAACATTAAAAAAATACTGTTGAATTAAGAATCTCCTCCGTTTTTTGAAGTCGGTTGAAAATCTCGACAATAGTATCGAGTACTAATATATATATGCATATACGTAAACACTCACGCATGTCACTCAAAGTGGTAAGCAGAGACTACGAACTTCCATTTGGGACGATCCTAACACGCCCCTCTCGCCTCCTATACAACCATACCCTGCCACACACTTGTCGCGTGGCATGGAAAGTAATGAGGAAATGAAGCAGTGAGTCAGAGACGTAGTGTGGCAACAATACTCGTCATGCCGCACGTCAAGCTCCTCGTCATGCCCATCGCTCCCTGTTTTGTCGATTTTTTCAGCCCGAGTCAAAGGACTGGCAATATGAGTGCAAGTGGCCGGCCACGAAATCGCGCGAACGCCGTCTGAATCTCGTTACGGAAGCTTCGTTCTATTGTGATGAATAGATGTCATTCACCATCTTTGTTGGCGAGGATGACAACATTTATTTCTTTTTATGACATTGATATAATTCATCATCATCATCATTACAGCCCTTCACAAGTTCACTGCTGAACATAGACCTCCCCCAAGAAACGCCACAAAGCACGGTCTAGAGCCACCTGCATCCATTGACTTCCTGCATGTCTTACCAGGTCGACACTCCATATAGAGGGACGCCCTACACTTCGCCTACCGGTACGAGGCTGCCACCACAGGATTAGATAAAGGGAGCAGAGACAAAGCTTCTTAAGAACGTGCAAAATTCTTACCAAAATAGGTAAGAATTTTGCACAGTAGGGTTGTCACAATAGGTGAAGACAAATTAAACAAAACATTTGTTAAATAGATGTATTATTCAGTATGATAGAATACTTTAAAAATTATTTACTCAAGTAATTTTTATTTAATTTAAAGACAGACCGACTAGTAGCGAGAAATAAGAACGCTGTAGGTACTCGTATTAATGATAAATTTTCATTAAAAATATTTTTAAACGCATATTCAAATTTTCATGATCATTGAGAAGTTACCCCGAGAGGAGACTATCATGTCTGCAGCAGCAGTTTATGGTGAAGATCATGTTTAGCAAACAAAATTAAATTTAAATATAAAATTTCGAGTCCATGCGGTCTAGAACTCTTTAACGGTTAGTTAGTTGTTAAACTATCAAAATTAAACTAACACAAATTTCGTGACCCGGCTACTACTGAAGAGTTCCCTAGTGAGGAGACAATCCTGCCAGCAGTATCAGGTTATATCTACCATAGTATTGAATGAATTTCAACTCAATTAGACATCGGGAAGTGGTTCAAATCTTACTTGCAATATGTGAACTTAACATATACCTAATACATATCAACCCACCCACATACTCGTACCTACAAATGTTTAGTAAAACCTTGTAATAAAAATAAAAAGGTAAAACACACCCACTTCTTATTAAAAAAAGGATCATACAATAAAATAAAGTTACTTGAAAAAGTAATAATCAAATATTTACTTACCTATTGTACTCCTTGGGATAGTTAAAGTATGATATATTTTTTATTTTTTCTAGTATTATTCATACACAAAGTACAATAAACAAACATTATTAATAATACCACGATTTTACACTAAAATATTCAAACTTGCAACTAACAAAACAAACAACATGCGTCGCACGGACCCTGAGATTGCTGTCCACTGGCTGTGCCATGCTAACCGGTTTGTTTCAGACTCGCCGCGTACACAACAAACGGCCAGAAGTCACGCACACATGCCCCGCGTGCTTGTAGTAGTGCCACCGATTCGCGTAATTGTTCCGTCTATTTACTCATGTGGCTGCCAGTCAAGAACCTTTCTGCCTCATCGGTTGTCGGTTCTTTGAGCTATGTGGTCGGCCCATTGCCATTCTTACTAATCTCTTGGGCTATGTCAGTTGATATAATTAGCTATACTAAATATGCATATAGTGCGCACGCTGTCACAGTTTCAATATACACTCTCACCCAATTATTTGGGACTCTTTGGGTGCGTAGAGCAGTGTGTAGGCAGAGAGGACATCGCGGCAGTGCGAGGAGCAGAGCAGTGAGCAGCGTGAGGAGCATAGTGTGGCGGAGCCAATATATCTAAGCTTACATCTTAGCTTAATCTGGCCAATTTTCAATATATCGCCAATTTGGTCGACAAACCTTCATCTAGGGCGTCCATTCTCGACTCTGCCGTTCACATCTACAACATAGTTTTACGTATAGTTCTCGTTCATTCTTTTTACATGACCAAACCTCCGAAGCATTCCTTTCTTAATTCTGGTCATAATCATCACGTCACAACATCATCTTGCAAATCACACTTTTCTATTATCACACAATTTCTCACCCAATCATTAAGATTCAGCCCTAACATACCTACTCCTTAATGATTACATTTCTACAGCATTTATTCTACTCTCGTGCTTCTTCTGCCACACCCAACATTCTTTACCATACATTAAAGTAAGAACTGACACAGCATTATAAATTACCATACGTGCCGTTTTTGACACATTCTGAATTTTCACAAAGTGTAGAGCTCCATTCACTCTATTTCCTGCGTTCACTCGTCGTTCTATATCCTTATCATATCTACCATCCCTGCTAAATACACATCCCAAATACACAAACTCATCCATTTGCTGAATCAACTCCCCTTCTATTCTTATTTCACATATTATTTTAATGTGTTCTTTTTTTTAAAAAAAAAACCTGACCTGTTCATTAATGTAACCATCATTCCCTCGGCCGCCGACGACGCATCTGTTTTGGTTATCGGCGTACAAAATAAATTTGACGGTTAACTCACAAATTCTTTACCCACATTCTTCAAGTTTCCACGTAGCCACGGGGAAGCTACACAGCCCTGTCTGACATCTTTACTAATGCCAAACCAATCCTTGTAGACCCCATTGATTCTGACACAAGCCCTAAAGTCCCTATAAAGAGACCTTAATGTATCAAACCAATACTCAACCCAAATGAGTTTAGTGTTTGCCGTAACACATTCCTGTCCACTCTGTTATAAGCCTTTTCCAAGTTCATGAAAGCACAAAATACTTTCTGATTTTTGGCTAAGAGACTTGATCCGTACACCCCTTTTGCTTTATAAATCCAGCTTACACATTCCGAATTTTTGCTTCTGCTTCTTTCATAACTCTTTCAATTAACACCTTAGCATACAATTTTCTCACAATACTAAGCAGGCTGATACCACGATAGTTTTTACAGTCCAGCTGTGACCCTTTTCCCTTATACAGTGTATTTGGTTTCGGACTGTACAAACTTAAAGGGGGGGTCGTTTGCTCTATTCTATCAATAAAAATATTCTACATGTGGGATCGGAATCCAACCCCCTAAATCACATTTTGCCGGGTGCCTATTGCCGCAGCGCTGCAACTTTCCTGCAGCCTGCAGCATTCCCAGTGATCTTAATATGTCTTTTCCAGTTAAACGACGACGTGGAATGAAATTTTCACTATCAAAATCAACCCAAGTTGAATTAAAAGTTATAATTTCTATATATCGTTAACATTATGGCGAAGTTGTTTTCAACAAAAATGGCGTTGGTCAAAGATAGCGTACTAAAGTATATGCCTATGATTGAATTTTTATTTATTACATGCTCCTATTGAGTAAATCGATATAATTATATTATAGCTTTTTATTAGGTAGTGTCGTTAGCAAGTCACCCTAATACTGGCCTGTCTCACACGGTGCTTTAGGTATGGCTAATTCCGTGAGGATGTCACGCGCGCGCTCGAGCTGACGCTCGCCTTACGTTAATAAAAAAATTATTTTTCTATTATAAGTATTTAGCCCCTTTTGATATTTATTTTTGAGTTTTTAGAGTTATCCAAACTTCAAAGGTGTTCACGTTGTTATAATCTTAATTTTTCTCGATGTTACATATTAACCTTCCACCACAATAAGCAATAATGTTCTTATTAGCAAATTACTAATACATTGTATAACACCTCGGTGTATTTTACTACCAATTAATATCAAAGGATTAAATTTGTTTTCTCACAACACCTAACCCTACAGTAGGAGCGGCCTTAACAAAAGCGCGTAACGGGCTAAGTGATAGACACTCACACGCGGATATTAGGTGCATTTTGATTTAATACGTGCGCCACATAAATTTTTTCCGACGATTTAACCGGTAGGCTATTTCAACCAAGGTCGTAATCGAGATATGCAAACTATTGTTACGAGCTCGGGGTTCGAGACAATTAAAAACTGCCGATTGAATTACCAAAATTGACACTTTAATTACACAACACTAATTACAATCTAAAATCACACTAATAATAAAACACAGTTCGCCGTTCTTTCGCTTCGAAGTATTCTCTTGTATCGCCAATTCAATACTGCCTCGGTCGTGGTCTATACCGGCCTTATATAGGGCATCAGATAGTTTCCAGAATCTTCTACTGTAGCGGCATCTAGAATGTTCGAGTACATATCGGTCCCGAAATTTCTGGAAGGATCTTGACTCTCCTAGTTCTGCTACTCGACACTAGAGGGCGCTAGTGTAACTAGTGTTGCCATGTACAAGACATTAATAGTGGCGCGCAACACTGCCCCCTACTAAGACATGCTCGTCCCGAGCATTATTGGCCCCATAATAACGCGCCAGTCGATCCACATGGACGATCTTAGGAGTACCTCTGGCACCTTTCTTTATCCGACCGATGGATACCTTCTTCCGACACTGCATACCCCAAAAAACTAACTTGCCGTTTGAATAGTAAGCACTTCTTCGCACTCAACTTCAGGTTGGCACTCTGGATCTTCATGAGCACGCGTTCTAGGTTTTGAAGGTGTTCCTCAAACGTACGACCTACGATGATCATGTCATCCAAATAGACCAGACAGGCATCTCCAATTAGCCCGGTAAGTACAAGCTCCATCAACCTTTCAAACGTTGATGGAGCATTGCACAATCCAAACGGCATGACTTTAAAATGCCACAGACCCTTTCCTGTGGAGAATGCAGTTTTCTCCTTGTCCTTAGGGTCAATTTCAACCTGCCAGCAGCCACTTTTCAGGTCCAGCGTACTAAACCACTTTACGCCTGTAAGCATGTCCAGCGTGTCATCAATTCTTGGCAAGGGATAGCTGTCCTTCTTCGTAACGTAGTTCAGGCGGCGGTAGTCAACACAAAACCGCATGCTGCCGTCCTTTTTCTTTACCAGTAGCACAGGTGAACACCATGAACTAGATGAAGGTTCAATAACACCATCCTTCACCATTCCCTCAATCATGGTTTCCACTTCCTTTTCACGTGCTACAGGCAATCTCCTTGGCCGCTGACGTATAGGCAATTCTTCTCCTGTGTTTATTTTGTGTTGAACTAAGCCAGTCTTTCCTATGTCAGCTTCATTTGACGAGAAAACATTGGCGTACTTGAGTAACAACTTCTTCGCCTTGACCATTTCATTCGGGGAGAGAACGCCGCGACAGTCTTCTAAAAGTGTAGTCACTCTCCTTTATCCATCCTTGCTGGAGGTCCCAGTCGATAGATATTCGCACCGACGCAACCAATCCACTTCCTCACTAGTACCAACCAATGTGCCTTTTTCTATAATCTGTTCCTGATCACAAAGGTTAAACACACGTACTCCTGAGATGTCGGTGGTTCTGACCAAGGTCCGAGCCACTTTCCATGGAAGGTCATTGTCTACCCTTTCCACGAGTACACAACGATGAGCTTGCCCAGGAGTCCGAGGAAGACTAACCGGCACAATCGTTTCCGATCTCGGCGGAAGAACAATCTTCTTAAGGCTGTACACATTCCCTGGTAACGCCCCTTCCACGAAAAGCTCCTCTTGTCCACATTTCAAAACACCTTGCTTAACGTCGATCTCACAACAATTCTTCCTCATAAAGTCTAGGCCCAGGATGCAGTCGTCCATTATATCAGCCACGATGACATTATGCAGGTAGATCATGTTGCCTAGCTTCAACTCCATCTCCTTCTCTCCACGAACGGGTATGCGCTGACCAGTGGCTGTCACCAAATTAATGCGTTCGCGGTTGTATGCGGAGTCCCCAAGGAACTGACTTATAAGTTGTGTATTGTGTTGTTGTGGATCAAAGATGGCCCCTTTCCCCACAGCCGTAGCACCTAGGGCTGTAGCCGTTGTTGCGGTCTCGAACTGTAGCTGCTGCAACCTCCCTGACGCGGTGGGAACGATGATCCTGCTGCACGGCTTCCACCTCCAGTGCATAGGTCAAGGCGTCCTTAAGCGTCTCGTGGTGCCTGAGCCTCACAGCAGCTCTGACTTCAAGGTCGCGGATGCCGTCGATGAATGTCTGCACCAGGTTCCCTACAATGAGCGCAGGTACAGACTGGTATGCTTTTCGAACCAGTTTCTTCACCTCAAGGGCCCACTGCTGCAGGTTTTCGTTACTGCGTTGCACGCGATCTTTGAGCTGTGCACGAAAGACGTGTTCCAAGTGAGCGTCGCCATATCTCGCCTCCAATGCCTTAAGGAGCTGCTCGGTAGTCATTTCCTTACCGAGAGCTTCCAGAACAGATAAAGCCTGGTTACGCAGGCCTAGGGTGAGAGCAGTCATGGCCTGACTTTTATTCCAGCCGTTCGCCTTCATGACAGCCTCAAATGGGATTTTGTAGGCTGACCAGGAAGAAGTGCCGTCGAATGGCGGCACTTTGAATCCACGTAGCGAAGGTGTTGTAGCTACCACGGGAGCTGTAACTCCATCCCCAATTTTGAGGTTTTCCAGCGTTTTCTTCACGTCAACCATCACGTTGTCAACCCGATTGTTCATTTGGTCGATTCGGGTTTCAGCTTCCGACAGGCGGTTGTCATGTTGAGCAACCCTATCCTTCACCTCCCTTATCTCTTTCCCGAAGGTAGCGTGAAGGTCTTTCATGAGAAGAAGCTGCTCTTCTAACCGACGGTCCTGTTCCTCCTGTTGGCGGGCCTGTTACTCCTGTCCGCGCTGCAGCTGCTCTTCCAACCGACGGCCCTGTTCCTCCTGTCGGCGGGCCTGTTCCTCGTGTCGGCTAGCATGATCCTGCAACATCATCATCAGAGCACCTAATTCAGGTGCTGCAGATGCAGGAGCTTCTGACGGGCCGGCCTCTGTGGTCAGCATCTTGCTCTCCGACATTTACGGCGTTGCATTACCAAATCGTCTCTGGTCCGCCTCCAGCTGGCGTTGACTTCGGGTACGCATACCCTCCATGTCGTCCTTTGGTAAAAGCGGCATGATTTGATCCCACTTCTGACACCAATTGTTACGAGCTCGGGGTTCGAGACAATTAAAAACTGCCGATTGAATTACCAAAATTGACATTTTAATTACACAACACTAATTACAATCTAAAATCATACTAATAATAAAACACAGTTCGCCGTTCTTTCGCTTCGAAGTATTCTCTTGTATCGCCAATTCAATACTGCCTCGGTCGTGGTCTATACCGGCCTTATATAGGGCCTCAGATAGTTTCCAGAATCTTCTACTGTAGCGACATCTAGAATGTTCGAATACATATCGGTCCCGAAATTTCTGGAAGGATCTTGACTCTCCTAGTTCTGCTACTCGACACTAGAGGGCGCTAGTGTAACTAGTGTTGCCATGTACAAGACATTAATAGTGACGCGCAACACTATTATGAACATTAGAGAAGTTGTAACTAGGTTTAAACTTGCAAGTTTGCTATCAGAGAGTGATCCTTCTGTTTTTGTACTATTATTTATTCTGCTGAAAATATATTGAACATACATACATATATATATATATATATATATATATATATATATATATATATATATATATATATATATATATATACATATCTAAGCTGGAATAGTTTGCGGAGGACGCACATCTATGAAAAACTGGCTCAGCTTTGCGAGCTAAGATAAACTAAGTTCGTTTAGTTTGCGGTGGACGTACATACATATCTTAGCTGGAATAGTTTGCGGTGGACGCACATTTATGAAAAACTGGCTCACCTATGCGAGCTAAGGATAAACTAAGTCAGTTTAGTTTGCGGCGGACGTTCGGCTTATATCTGAGCCAGTTTTTCAAACATACATATATTAGCTGGAATAGTTTGCGGTGGACGCACATGTATGAAAAACTGGCTCAGCTGTGTGAGCTAAGGATAAACTAAGTTAGTTTAGTTTGCGGTGGACGTTCGGCTTAAAGGTACACCATGTAAATGAAATAACGGAAAAAATAAGTACAATATTTTCTAATCATTTATAAATATAATTATTTAAGCATATACATGTTACATTGTAGTTTCTATTATTTAATTTATTAGAAACTTCTAATTTGTATGTGTAATACTACTGTGATTCTAGTATTTCTTGGAAAAAAGACCAGGGGACTAAATAAAGAATACTGAAGCCAAATTGTCTGTTTATTCACCAATCATGCAAAAACTACTGATGAAATTATTTCATGAAATTCCGTCCATCCGTCATGAACTATTTTGTACCACATCATCCCGTCATGAATTATTTTGTATGTATTAAGTTAGTGACCCGGGGCAACTCATACTTCTTATCCGAATACGGAACTAAAAAAAATAGAGTTAAGTATTTCCCTTGCTTTGGATATTGTAAAATTTAAAAAGAAAAATGTAGGATAATTTACCTTCAGTTACTAATTAAATAAGGTAGGTATGTATAAACAACTATTATTTATATGTTTAAATAATTATATCAATAAATTTATTTTAAAATTTTAACGTTAATTGTTTTAGATTTTTCGTAATTTCGTATTAATAATGCGATAATTTAAATTGATAATAGATATATCTATCAGTTTGCCTGCGACTAATACAAAACTCTCATTTACTTTAAAGTTAAAAGTTAAAGTTGCGGCTTATATACGTTCCAATGCTGGGCATATCTTACTTCTGAAGTGGAGTCGTTTACTTTTTAGTATTAATTAAAGAGATTTTTATGTATTATGTCGCGGCCAGATCGCAGAATGAATCGTATCATAAAGTAGTCGATAATTTTGTGAAATGGTGGCATTTCATGAAATTCAACACTGTTTGATGATTATCACATCATGATACGACTCAATTAATAGAGATTATTTTACGATATTAACAATTTTTTCCCGGGGTATTTTTAATACATTCTCTGGAACTGAATCATAATATTATCACGATACCTAAAACACCCTTAGAAATCGGACATGGTAATTTGTTGTTCATGTTGTATATTGAAAACAAAAAAAAAATGTTAAAAGCCTGCTAACTAGACCACGAGCTGTAAAGCTTTCTGAATATTATAATCTAAGTTATCTACTTAATAAAAATCTTAATTTTTATTACGCAACTTAGATTTTAATTTATATTTTTAATGAAATACGAATCGATTTAAAATTTACCATATATTGTAAGTGATGCACAATAGCGACGTACATACACACATAAATGAATACATTAATGTAACTACTTACTCGAATAGTAATGCGGCTTGACGTCAGGTTGAATAAATTAATACCTCTTGCAGGGACCTGAGATAAATTAAAATGTAAAAGAAAACTATTTTCCATTCTTGGGTTAAAGTTCTTCATATCAGTTTAAGCTATAATTTTATGGGTAAATCCATGTTAAGGGTATTAAAAATTTATTAATAATAATTTGTCAGAAGAATTTTCAAGGTGGCGACGTGTACGTCGCGGCAAACTTTGTATGTGTATAAATTTGTGCTGTTTTTTAAAAACTAAGAGTCACTAGATCTTGACATATAAGTAGTTTATAAAAAATCTTAGACATTCTGGGGTTATTCTTCGATATTTAGTCTGCATTCGAAAATCTTCTCTAATAGCCGACACACGCGGTCAGTTAAACTGTTCAGTACATATGTATGTAAGCCAAAAAATGTTCGACACACGTTTAGTTGCACAGATCAGATCAGTTTAACCACAGCTTAGATACCTTACAGTTGTGAAACGCCTTTGATGGCGCCTGCGTTTTACGCGGCCAGCGTGTGTTAGTGGTTGTAAGACAACAGAAATATAATAATTTTGGATATTATAATACTCATTATCATTTATTAACATAATGTACATACTTTTAAGATAAAATCTTTTATGGACCAAGATAATTTTTTATTACTACAAAAAACAAAAAACATTTAAGTGTTGCACCGACAAATCGAAGGCAGCAAAGTAGAAACGGACATCTACATTTTTAAGAAAATGCTTTTTTTACAAAAATGAGCTTAAATCAACCCTAGTCTGTATTAAAATTATTTCAAATTTCAAAATAATGAAGAAAATCTGGCACGTAAATGAAGACATCTACCCTCGATTTAAAAAAAAACATCGCAGTAGAAACGGACATTTGAATTTGTCCGCCTGGTAGGTAGCTCATTAATTGATAATGTATAAAATGTTAAATGCAAAGTAAATAAAGACATCTGCAAAATTTGGTAAAAAAAGGGGAATACTGTTTGCATGTTGCTTAGATTTTCTTTAAATATCCTTAAAAGTATTAATGGAGATTATTATCTTAGTTTATTACATATTTTAAATGAAATAGACGCTTTTTTATCACAACGTATAAACGGATATCAGGCAGATGTCTTCTTCTACGTCAAAGTTTTTAGAGTAAAAAAAGACTTCTAAATTATTTTAGTAAAACAACGAAATAGCGATATAAGCTATTACATAATTCATAAAGAATGCTATTTTAATGCTTCATAAAAAATTTCATGTTTATCGGTCCATAACTTTCAAAATGACCACAATTTTTTACTAAAACTGCTCTCCTGTAAAAGTGCGATTTTGTAGATGTCCGTTTTTACTTTGCTGCCATCGAAATATTTTCGTGAAATTTAAAAATTTTACCACCTGTCAAAATTAATTGAAATTTAAATACCGTGTACAGGTAAGTTGGCAATTTATAGGAATTGGTGTTAATGGTTCTAGTAGGCTTTCTTAAATTACGCAGATATTTTCGTCTTCTGGTTGTGGTTGTTTATGCAACTTTTTCCGGTCTGCCTTGTTTTGCCTTGTTTTTTATTCCCTGTAAAATATATAACAGATTTCTAATTTTGTAATTTAGAGTTATTCTGGTTTCTTAATTGCCTGAAAACATAAATTGAGTAATTATACTGTTTTTATTATTACACAGTCTGGTAATAAGCCCCTCACCACAATAAATCTAAAAGCGTATTTCTACTAGTAACTTCTTGAAATCGTGGCATATCTTCTTAGTCTACCTGAGCCCTTTCAAATGAGAAGTATAAGGTGCCCCAGTTGCAAAAACGCGATGGTGTTTCGTATTTGCATCTCTGAGGCCTTTTATCCCACCTTCTAAGTCCACCATCGTGAAGGTAAGATCATCACAGTTAACGCATGGTCGTTATGAGCATTTTCAAATGAGTTCGAACACGATCGATCTATCTAGTGTCGTCATTGGGATCCTATACCCACCTTCGGATGGACCATCAGAAAGATTAGATCATAACAGTCACCACGGTCTTTATGAGTCCTTTCAAATGAGTTCAAATACGATCGTTCTAATTAGTGCCGTCAATGAGATCCTATATCCACCTTCGAATCGCACCATCAGAAAGGTGAAATCATAACAGTCATCATAGTCTTTATGAGCCCTTTCAAATTAGTTCAAACACAATCGTTCTATCTAGTGCCGTCACTGGGATCCTACCTTTGGATTGCACCATCAGCACCATCATATACGGAATAATATTGTTTCTCAGACATGTAGACTTCCTCACGATAGTTTTCCTTCAACACTTTTAGTTGAGAACTATTAAAGTTGAGTTAAAACTAGGTAGAACACATAATTTTATTTTAGTATGGTTCTTAGATCACATACAATATATGCTTAAAGCCGCGTCTCCACCAAAGTTTTGTTGCCAACACAACAGTTGCCAACACGTGTTGCCAACAAATGTTTCTGTCAACAAGCGTCTCCACCGAGGGAACAAATGATGGCAACAAGCGTAGTCCTTTGATGTTGCCGCCGAAAATGGAAACAAGTTTTGTTGGCAACTGTTGTGTTGGCAACAAAACTTTGGTGGAGACGCGGCTTAAGATCATACCTGGTATTGCTCTGTATTCGTTTGTAAAGTTTCATCATAAACGATTCAGCCAATCCGGAGATTGGCCCAGACAAACCGTTTACGTTTATTCTTGCCAACTTGTCAACACACATGGGAGGAAATGAGTTATTAGATTAATGAAATTCTTAGTTTTTAAGCTGAAAGTTAATCTTTACAAAAATTTGTAAAAGCTCCGTAAAAATACCTAAATGTTTTCTTTATACCTTTAAATCGACTTTCATGAGTGCTCACAAAGATTTACTTCTGGAACCACCACACAGGGGCGTAGCTACCGCCTTATCAGCAGTATCAACGACACGGCGGCCCCGAACGTATGTAAGCAAAAATTTGTAAAATGTTATCCACAATCTCACCTATAATCCTAGGCCGTCCTTCCCGAGAAAAAAAAAACGTATAAAAAGTGTCCAAAGTGCCTAAACAAGTTTTCACTTCAAAAATTACGAAAGTCAATAAAGAAATCTCTTTTTTTCCCCGGGTTAAGCGGGCACCCAAAAGTTGGCAACACAGATTATTAAAATCCGAGACGAGACGAGACGCGTGTCAGTATACATTATGGCAGCTGTACACGCTCGTCGCGTAGAGGTTCGACACAAGAGCACACTATGTAGACACTCGTTGTATCACTTGAACTCCGGATGCCTACTGCGCTGGACTTAGAAGAAACTGTTGCTGTGTTTTGCCTTTGCTGTTTTTTATTATAACTTTTTACATATAAAAAGAAAATTAATAAGCCAAGGTGGATGGTTTCTATTCACCGTAACAGAACCATGTAAGTACATATACTTTATTTAACAATATGGAACCATTGTTTGATAATTTTTATAATTATCAGAAAACGAATGAGTGTGTACAGGCTCACTCTCGTTTTCATCGCGAGACTCACGAGACCCTTTGACTCGAGCGCAAAAAATCCACACGCTTCAGAGGCCCGCGAGACGCGACGGGACGCGACGAGTGCACCATGTACACACTCGAACTCGGTCTGCCTCGTGGGGTCTCGACGAGCGTGTACAGCCGCCATCAGTTATTGCGGGATTCCCCCGTTTAAGGCCGGCCACACACATTCGGAATTCTGTTTCGAAAAGCCGTTTCGGAATATCGATTCGAGCTTCTGTAAATACACAACACTCTCCAATCAAGAGGGGTAAAGTTTGTATCACACACAACAAAGTTCTGGAAATTTGTATCAAAATCTTCAACTATTATGACATACAAACTGTGGCTTCGGTCAAGTCAAATACATATTTTTTACGATGCATATGTATAAAGTGTATAAAATAACTAGATGGCGCCTACGACTTCGTTCGCATGGAATTTATTACGGCTGGATTTCATACCTTTTATTTTTGCGAGAAACCCTAATTATTTATCTAAAATAAAATTAGCCTAAGTTACTCTTTTATTTGCCAGTGAAAGTCCCGTCAAAATCCGTCCAGCCATTTCGGAGATTAGCCGGAACAAACAGACAGACAAAAATTTTAAAAACAATTTTTTTTTTGTTATATGTGGTGGTTCCTTTATACTTTCACATGCATTTAGTAAAATGCTGTTATTTTGAACAAACAGATTCAAATAGTTATAATAAATATTCAATAAATATATTAGTAGAGGTAGTTCCAAACAGTCTATTTAGTACACAGAGTCGCAGAACACTATATATCTACCATGACCAAGAGCAGTGCTTTTTTTGATAGTAGGTATACATAACAAACCTCCATATTATACAAAGATAGACACTGACCGGTTAAAAACAGCATTCTGTTCATCAGCTTTGCTTTAAAATTAAATATTTGACAGTAAAAATCAAAATTTGTCATGTAATTGGCAAAGTATAAAATTGTGCAGTGATTTATTAAATAGTAAACCAGCAGTTGGTGTATAAATTAAAAGTATTCTTGCAAAATGGAACTTTTACACAGTATTTCAAGTACATTTGAAAACATAAAAACTACCATAAAGAACAGGAATTCTACTGAACGCCTACTTATTTTGAAGAAAGAAATCCAAACCTTGAGCACAGAGCTCGTCATATTTGGCAAGGAAAACCACGACCAGTATGTAAGATCTCTTGCTATGGAAGGCTACGTTACCCTACTTTCTGTGAAAACCATGCCAATATCCCTTGAAGACAAAAGAAATCTTTTACAAGATGCATTTGATAAACTAAAAAAACATGCTTTAAGAGAGGAATGTCTTTTTATATTTTTAAGAATACAAAATCTTTTATGTTACTATCTGATTCAATTAGACCAAATTACAATCGCTAAAGATATTCTTGAAAATATGGAAGATCTTTATGACAAAATAAGCAAATCAGACTCAGACAAATTCTACGACGCCGAAGATTTGTTTACAAATGAACCTCTTACAAAAATCAAACGGGTGAACCCAGAAAAAATCGACAAGGTTATTACAAATAATGTGCAAATGCAAGCTTTTTTATACAATAAATTAAACATGCCAGAAAAATATTCTCTCTATAACCATACAGCACTCAGACGGCAATTGGAAATGAAAGAGGGCACGCCTCAAGATTGGGCTTTGAGAGCCGCTAGGCTTGGAAATTATTTTACATATCTTAACCAACTACGGAACGCGCGTCATCACCTTTCTGCCGCTTATCAAATATTGCGTACTTGCCACGATAACTGCAAACTAATACCAGAAGAATTCGTGCTCCAAAAAGCGGACTTTGAAATGCATTTCTTAGAGCTTAGTCACTACTGGGTCAAGTATGGATTAACCCTTTTTAAATTGTCGAAGAAGAAAATATTAAATCGATATTTTTCTAATCCATCAGCTAAAACAGACTTGTGGAAAGCGGTAAATATGAACGTACTTGATGAGATTGTTGTAAATAATGAAAAGTTCGATGATGAAAATGTAAAAGATGTTGGGGCCGAAAAATCTGGAAAAGGAGATGTAACGTCCGAGAAACTTTTTATTTTTCCTACATTAGACTTAAAAGAAATGGAAAACAGAATTCCAGTTGACATCATTTGTGGTATTGAAGAAGCTAGAAGATTATTTACCTTCTCTCATAAATGGTTAGTGCGAGCAAGACATTATTATGATTTCGAACATCATGCAGCTCAATATATTTCTTGTTCTTTGCAATTAGCAGAGCTGTACGAACACTTGGCATTCTTTGAGAAGAATATTGATAATCAGTACAATATACAAAAAAGACGAGCAGACGTATTAGAAGCACTTAATTCGCTACTAAAGAATTGCGACAGTGTCATGTCGGTACAAATCGACGTTATAAAGGAGCTGTCTCAAGTCCAGTTGGAGCTAATGGCTTTAAATCTGCAAAAGTTGTGGCGTGAGGAATCTCAAACAAATGTATTTAGTTTGGATGCCGATGCTGATTCAATAATAAACTCTTTAGATTCGGAATCTAATAAGACATTAACAGAGAAAACATTAAATACTACAAGCAAGAATATGTTTTTACGAAAAATGGAAGCAGCAACATTGTTGAACGGAAAATTATTTCGCTTAAGCGATCAGTTAGATGTGGGGACCCCATCACAATTAAGTTTCAGAACTAATCAAATAAAAAGCTGAAGAAAAGGATTGTTTAGATTTTGTTTAATCTTTACTTTCAATAATTGTTATCGTAGTTATAAAACTTATTTTGGAGTTTCAAATAAAACACGAACTGTAATTGTAATGTTCTATATAATTTAAAACTGACACATTTGCTTAGCTTAGTGAAAACGGTGCAAATATTACGTTTATTATAAAAATCATAACAAAATTTGTCTTATTACCAGTAGTTTCAATAAAGAATTCTACCGACAACATATTGAATCACGTTTTCAAAATTTTATGTACTTTTATTATTTTTATTTTGTAGCGTTTATACAGTGTAGTAAAAACCTAATCCTATAACACGTTTTTAAATATTATTTTCCATGCCTTTAGACAAAGGAGCATAAAGTCCTGTTGAGAAAGTAAACAAACCTGCTGGTAATAAGATTTACAATAAATAAATAATACAAAGAAAACAAGGAAATAAATTAACATGAAATCTGGAATTACATCGCAAGTAAAAAGTATCTCCATCATATTCCTAGTCAATGTTGACGTAAATTTATTCTGACATTAAGTACTTAACTGACTTTAAGAACAAAAATTGCGTGTTTTATTCCTTGACAAATTATGTACGTAAACAGGCATATTTACACTCTATATGTGTAGTAAAATCACTCGTGAACAAAAAAATCGACTCAGGCGACACATCTGCAGTCGCAAGTCACTGGCAAAAAACTGAACGCGTAAATATTTTTACCTTAGTAAAATGTTAAATCTGATAGTATTAGCTTCAAAATGATTATAAAATATTGTAATGTTTCTTGCTCACACCCACCCAACAATATGTTGTGATCGGTAACCACCCTTTTTACGCTTGTTTACAATAGTGCTAATGAAGAGTTAATGACCATTATAAAAGGTTATCCACCTGACCCACCCTTATCAGTTAGACGTCAAACGTCAACCGATACACATCTCCGTTATTAACAAACAAGAATTCTACCTGAAAATGGATACAACAAGTGATGAAGCTGCTCAAGCGGTCACCCTATTGCGACAAGGCCAGGCTCAGCGTAAAGTGGCACATGTGCTAAACATGAGCCAGTCTGCTGTTTCCAGAGTTTACCGTCGTAACCAAGAGACTGGTAACTTTAATCGAAGACGCGGTTCCGGAAGAAAAAGTTGCTCATTGGAGAGAGAACAGATTCATTGCCAGCACATCGCTGAGAAATCGGGCCCTCACTGGCGTTCAAGTCCAACAAGAGTTCAGAGAAACGCGAGAAGTGACTGTGAGTGGCTGAACAGTCAGAATACGACTTAAGGCAGCTAACCTTGAGACAAAAAGGCCAACTACTGGCCCGACATTAATCCCAGCCCACCGAGCAGCCCGCCTACTATTTACCAAAGGACACGTTGATTGGACTGACGAACAATAGAGCTCCATTTTCTTCTCAGACGAAAGCAGAATGTTTGCATGGTAGCGATAAAAGAGGACGAGTCTATAGACCCGGAGAAAGATTCGCGCAGTGCTGCATCAAAGAAAATGTGGCTTTTGGAGGAGGATCCTGGTGTGGGCGGGCATTTCAATGGATGCAAAAACCGAGTTGGTTTTTATTGAAACTGGCGGTCGAGTGGGAGGATTGACGGCGAACCGATACATCGAAGAGATTTTAGGGGATCACGTCGTTCCCTAGGCCGGTTACATCGTCGAAAACTTCATTTTAATGCACGACAATGCCCGTCCACATACTGCAGGTTCCGTCATGCAGTATTTACAGGAGGTGGAAATTGCTGCTATGAAAAAAAAAAGAAAAGTTCGGGCTAGAAATCCTGCACCAGCCACGAAATCGGACATTAAAGCGGCGCTCAATGAAGAATGGGATAGCATCGAACAAGATCGGGTAAAGAAACTTATTCGCCAGGGGCCAGGGGGGAACACTAAATTAGGCTTGAATTTTCTTTACTTTTAATTATTACCTTGTTTCATTGTTTATGACTCTTTATCGTTTAATATTTTTTTCCTTACCAATACTAAATTTAAAAAACCAACGAAAACCACTCATTTTAAAGCTAAAACTAGCCGCTTTGAGATGTTAAAATCAGAAACAGAACGAAAGCTTCAGATTTTTGCTAAAGACTTTTAACCGCCAGCGTGCGCCCTGAGTCGATTTTTTTGCTCACGAGCGTAGTTTAGATAACGAAAACGTAGTTTAGATAACAATGGAGTAATATTAAAACACACAAGCTAAAAAGGCGTTGGATTTAAAAGTCCCAAAAGGCCTTTATAGAATATATTTCATTAAAATTGCCACTTTAATAAAATCTGTAACACAAGACACATTCGAAACCTCTCTACTAACCATTATTGCTCTTAAAAAGTATTTTCACAGAAATTTATAATTTGTTTTTTTCGGATTTAGATTTTATTCGCTTAACACCAGTAATTAGTAAAACAGCTTCTACTAGACAGTCTCATAATAACTGTATATGGACATACAGTTATTATGAGACTTCGGTATGTCCCGATTTCCTGACTAAATCATGCTCCATTTCATTAGGTTTTTTTTTTAAATATATAATAGGTATATTGCTCAGATTATTTACTCTCTAGATAACGCCTCTAGCAATCAGCGATGAAACAAAAACTAGCTAGTGATTACAAGCGGTTGCTGTCTTACACCCCATAAAATAGGGAAAAACTGTAACATTATGTCATGTCAATATATTACAATATTTTAATATGGTGCTTTCAATTATGTGTTTAGTTGTCTGTTAGAGTTAGAATCTGATTTTTATGTATAGAAAAATATAATCGAATAAAAAATCAATAACGCATTTACAAAATCTGTTTTAGTATTTAATGTATGGTGTCGACTTATAAAAATACAGGTTGGCCGGTGGCTATGTCTGAGTCATAGTTTAATAATTTATCCTAAGGTATCCTAAATGGTCACATTCAATTTTGACAATTATTATACAATACTATTTAGTAATACTATAACAAAGAGAAAAAAAATAAAGAAAAAAATGTTTAAGACTAAATTAAAAAAACACCCGACTGCGCATAAGCTTGCAAAACAAAAACAATTGGTTCATCCGTTTAGTCTGTAGGCTCAGCCAAACCATTTTTGAAACATACCCGCATACCCACATACACATACATACACACACCTTCCTTGATGTATTTCTCCCTTCTGGTGCAGTCGGGTAAAAATGAACATACATAAGCTTTAAAGACAACTTTGCGGGGAAATTCGCAATCCAATACTGGCAATACAAAAAAACGACGCGTTGATTTTGTGAAAAAAATTATCAATTTTTTAGTTTTGTTTTCGTAAATTACTATTAGTTTTGAGTTACTTACCGATGGTATTAGATTTTGATAGTTGTTTGTGAAAGTCCTCTGTAATTTCTGCAGATTTTGATCATGCAACTAGTCCTTTTCACCAAAATAATCTAACGCAAAAAATGATGCATGCGTGCGTATCTCTTGACGTTAAAATTGACAATGAGGAGGAGGGACATTCTGATACTAGTAAATACGAGTCGGTACTTAATACTTTCTATTCAATACCAAGTACTAATAGCATCGAATCAATCTTGCGATACTTACTCGGTATCGAAACAAAAGTAGGTACTTGGTATCGAATCTAATCGGACTGACCTTACTTCCGATCCGAACGCATCAGACAGAACGAGAGAACGAATGTCTCTTGCTCGGTTATTGGTAAAGCGCGCCATTCGTGTCTCTATCCAGGCGAGCCAAACTCGTCCGACTTCACCCGAGCCTAGACCGAAAGCGAGAGAGTCACCATTACACTAAAATAGTCACTGGCCCAGTCAGCACTAGCAGTGTTCAGCATTCCACAAGTAATTGTTTACGATTACGTTACGAGTAATTTAAGTTATTGTAGTCATCGGTTTATTGTTCCAATGTTATCATGGCACCACCAAAATCATTAATATGGACATATTTTACCAAAACAAACGAAGCAACTGCAATATGTAAACAATGTTTTAAGTCGGTGAAGTATTGTGGCAATACATCTAATTCATTCAAGCATTCCAAAACTCATGGAATTATTGTGGATAAAGGCAAATTGCAGAAAAAAACAGATAAAGGGACAAACGAAAGGTGGGATCTTCAACTTATCACTATCTAATTAATTTCGTTAGGTTAGGTTCATAATAGTATTATCGATGTTTCGCAGCCTATCGAACGATAGCAGCGATAATTTTAAGAGTTACGTTATATTTATCGAAAAGTTGGATGTTTCAGTTCAAAAAGTACAATTCAGTTAGCCAACTCAAAGTATTCAATGGAAGATGATCAATCCCAACCATCAACATTAACTAGTATGGAAACGGATGGAAGTGGATTTTTTCTGAGCCGTTCTATAACGGAGGCTTTCGATCGAATTTCATCTAATAAAGATAAACATACACATGGGACATATTTACTTAATAAGAAAATTATTAAGAAAAGAAAAAGAAAACTATTATAAATAGGTATTACTGAAAAAAAATCTGTATAATTATTTAATATTACTTAGATTACAATGGGCGTTTTTTTTCAGCAGGTGGTGCGAAGTTTAACAGGATTGTTCAAGCATTGATATTTTTTATCTGTAAAGATACGCGACCATTTAACATAGTTGAAATTGAAGGCTTTTTACGACTTGTGAAAGAACTAGAACCCGCTTTTAAACTTCCTACTTTAAAAAAATTAAAGAAAATAACTACGGAAAAGTACGAAGCTTGTGTTGCTATTTGTAAGTCTAACGCTGGATATATGGACAGAGACAATGAATGAAGTGGGATTCGTGGGTGTCACAGTACATTTTATAGAAAATGATCAAATGTGTATGTATTATCTTGCAACTCGTGCATTAAGTGAACGACATGCAGCTGATGACACATGGGAAAACCTTGATATTATCACTAAATGAAATATTCCACTTATCAAAATTTGTGCAGCTGTAACAGATAGTGCCAGTTCAATGTTGACTGCTATACGGATGTCTTTAGTTAAAAAAAAACATTTACCGCGTTTTACGCATACTGTAAATCTCGTAGTTCAAGAGGCCTAAAGTTACCCTCTGTTAAATCAGCTGTTATAAAAGTACGAGAAATTATTCATTGGATAATAAATAGTGTTGTGCAGGCGGATAAGCTACGAAAACTCCAAATGCGCAATAAAGTTTCAGACGAATCAATTTTAAAACTTATTGCAGACGTAAGAACTAGATGGAACTCAACATTTTTTATGTTAGAACGATTCCTAAAGTTGTGAATAGTAATATCAGAAATTGTAATCCAGTGTAGTAGCTCCAAATTTGCCAAGTGCTGTGGAAATGGAAACATTGATGAGTTTAAAGCTGTATTGAAGCCTTTTGAATACGTAAGAAGAGAAGCATCTGGCCAAATGTATACTTATAACAATTTCCAAAATTATACCAATGCTTAACTGCTTAACTACAGAACTGAACAGTATCACACCAAACTCTACTATTGTTAAAGACTGTAAGGATGTTTTATTGAGAGAGCTGAAAAAAAGGTATGGGATGATTAAATTAAATGACCATGCAGCCCTACGCTTTTAGACCCAAAGTTTACAAACCTACACTTCCAAGACCCCTCTGCATGCGGAAGAGCTATTCAAAAACTTAGATCTATGGTTGACGGACAACTAAATAGCCCAAGTGAGTCAGGAGATAATGCGTCATCTACTGCACCGTCCGAATATGATTTTTGGAAACATCATAAGGCACACGGACACAAGAAGAAAAAACATCTCATCAGTGCGATGAATTTTCTCTAGATTTATCAAATCCAGTTGTTTCCCTTAAAAGCAAGCCATTTGCAGAATGGGATGATATGAAATTTTTATTTCCTTGTCTGTACAAATATGCACAACAATATTTAAAATCCAAAAGTATCGATATCAGTAAGTATCGATACATTGCGGCTATTTGTATGAGTAGTATAGAAAAATGATTAGAGTACTACTGATATTAGTAGGTATCGATACTTTGATGTTATCGGAACATTTAGCTGATATTTACATTGACGCTTTAAACCTCCGTTACTCTATCTAAAGAGTAAATAATCTAAGATATGTTGATACTACTGATTAACCGACGATATTTTATAACTAATTTATGAATAAACGTAAGTATTATGCTAAGTGACACGAACCTGCATATGAAAACCAGTGAAAGGTCTCGAATGTTGCTTGCAATACAACGTAAAATAAAATAAAAATTATCAATAAAAAATCAATTAACATATTTAATTTATTCCAAATTGCTTATTGAATATTTTATCATTGAACAATCGCGACAAGGTAACGTAGTACAAGTGACAAGTATTTATCGTATCGGAACAGTTGTGTCTAAACCCAAATAAATGTTCTTGTTCCGCGAACGATCAATGTCCGAAAACATGGCTATGAGCTTAGAACAAGCGTAAAATGCCTGTTTTTACATTTGGATAATACCTAATACTCCACACAACTACTCTAGTATTCAGAATAATTCAAAACTTGCCATCGAAATTGAAAACCTATATAGTTATATCTATACAATTAATAACTAATCTACAATATTTTATAAGCTAAGTCAAGAAATCAACAAAAACAAAAAAATAATAAAGCTCATAATGTGATTAATAATATTTATAAATGTATTAATTGTATCTGCGAAAATTATCTTTAAACGGAGTTACAATTTTGCAGTAAGAATGTACACTATATTACTACATAGTTCCGCAACAGTGATGGAACGTTTGAAGATACTCGTCGAGCACAAACGAATAGACACGAGTACGAACATGTAAGCGCCTTGTCCGGGTGAGCCGCTACCCGGCCCGAGTACTCGCCTGTTTCCCACTCGATGTTGGTTTTTGGCGCGAATCAAAGGATTGTTTGTGTGTATCCGTATCGGTGTTTACAAACTCATCATTATTCAGTTGACCCGTGAACTATCATTATAATTTATTCGGCCAATCTACCGTTATGAGTTTCTTTAATACCATTCTTTGATAAAATATATAGAAAATATAAGTAAGTACTCGGGTCCACTGAAATTAAGAATATCACAAGAGCTAAACTACGTTATAAGACTATTATTTAGGAACAGTCTACAGGACTGTTATTTCAAAGGAGCAGAAACAAGTGTGTTTGTCAAACATGTTTCAAACTTTACTTGATATCAGCCCACTCGTACAACAGAGATTATCAGCATTGTCAAATTATTGAGTCTATTGAGCTGTTTTACTTTGTCATTACCGAATTTATAGACAATTTATAGAAAAAATTTAAAAATTAAGCTGAATTCAGCGTTGATATCAAACTTTTAAATGGCCATCGTAAAAAGCCCTTGTATTTAATCTGTTTCAATATAAAATATGACATGTAAACAACAACAGTTAATCATTGGTACAATGTAATAATTATATTAAAAAATATATGATGTATATGCATGTATGAACCCTAATTACTATTTTATGAATGCCTATTTTAGGCAGCACTTGTGCGTTGTGTATAATTCTCTAAAGGCTGATATACTTATAACTATTATAAACTGGTGTTTATGTTACATATGAGGATAATGCGGTATCCACTATTATACTATTTACTTAGACATTTCGACATAATATTATTACACATAAGTATCTGTAAATATTAAACATAAAAGAACCATATGACATGTTTACTCTTGAAAATTCAAACTTCAATTAGTAGTGACAAAAAATTCAATTCAATATTTCCAAACATTTTGCGTAAAAGAATAATTTAGGATATTGTTAAAAAAATAGCAAAACGTGTTTTTGTGATATAAACTATTGACATCCAAATTATAAGGATGCTGCAATAGCAGCTGCTAAAATATTACACAAGTTATATTTATTATACAAATTAAGACCACTGCTGATTAAAAAATTATTCATTTTAAAATGCCCTAAATAAGAAATTTAATTAACACCTGATAAATATCCGAACACCTAGTAATACCGTGTCAAAATTTATATTTTATTATAAAACTTTGTCACGGTATTAAAAATTTACATAAGGCAGTCTGGTGTGGTTGTAGAATGAAAATACTTGGCGATAATTCTACGTGGCAGAGCCTCTTAATGAAACCAACAGTAAGTCTCTTCCTAAATATTCAAAATGGATCAAAAATAACCATCAAAATAAAATTTGGGATCCAACTGAAACACCAAAAAATAAAATTCTTCCATATCTGCTTTAGTGATGTCTGTGCTATATAAATTGTATCGGCAGACCAAATTTAGTAAGTCACTACCAAAACTTGCGGACAAATTTACACGCTGTAACAACCTTATCGAACCACTATGATTACCATTAAATGAAGGTATATTACTTAACAATATAAGTATAACGACACCAAATTTAGTTAATCCACACCGCTAGAAGCGTGTGTCTGACACGCGCGCTTTCCTTCCGTTTTATGTGTAAAATTTTATTTATATTGTGCGTACCTAATTTATGAAATTAGACGAAAGCTTGGCCGCGATTATTTGTGGCGCAATTTCATATTCATAGATTGCTATGAATCGATGAGTACACATTTGTAATAACAAGAGAGCGTATTAATTTTCATCTTTCGTTTGCAAACTTCCCAGGTCTAAACGAGCTACGAGTATTAAAGAATTGGATAGCATTTCAATTATTATATAGAGGTATAAATTTTGGTAATCATTTAATATTGTGTTGCAATAAATATTAATGTGTACGTAATTTTTTTACATATCTGTTACATCAATAACATATTACATTTGACCATCAAACGCAATTTTTAGCGATAAGATACAAGATGCGAGTTAACTGTAAATTAATTTATATTTAAAAAATACTCATTATTAGCTTTATTTGTCCTCTTGCCATATATGCCAATAGTATATATACGGCTTTTTAAATTATAATAAGTAATAATTTATTTTTTCATTACGTAAGTTTCAAAGCGTCAGAAAACTTTTACCTTGTAAGGTATTTATTGTGTTGTTACATTCTTTTAGAAAGGTATGGAAAGGGACAAGGTAAATCTTTTGAACTTTCGGTTATTATGCAATTCAAGCTATATTTCGTCGCTTCCTACGTAAAAATGAGTACAATATAAAAATTGCACTTAACCACTAATCGCCAGCCAAGCTCCAGTGGACACTTTTTTTACTATTACCTTCATCGTTTTAATGGCTCTGTCTTATTAAGCTATTATACAATAAAAATATTAGAGTTCAAAAAATTTAACAACACGTATTGATCATGATTTGCGAAAATCCTAGTAACAGCCCATATTCATAGTCATGAAATTATTGTATTGTATTCGGTTCTAAATACGTCTGCAATATTTTAAATAATTCAGACGTCCACAAGTAGTTACAAAACTGAATTATAAAGTTCCATTACATTCATGCATACTTACACACAACACATAGGTATAGGTGAAGCTAGCTGAACAGCAAGCGTCTTAAGTGTCTTATTTGTTCCAGCTACCTACCTACTATGTTAGTTTGTTACTTTGATAATAATAATTGACAAAACAATAATGATAAAGTTTAAAACCGCAACGCGATTTTTGACTTACTTATTCCTTTAATATTTAAAGTGCAGGTGTTTGAAGTATATTAATTTAGTTACGTCAAATATTTTTTTGTTGAAGGCTTTAAATAACAATTAAATTTTAAAAATCTTACCTTTTATTTACGCGCAACTTAAGATATACAGGAGGCCTATATTTAGCAGTGGACTTATGAAGGGCTGTAATGATAAGATATACAGCAACCCCGGTTTTAATAAATCCAATCATTTAAAAAACGAGAACGAGTGATGGGAGAAAAAACAGTAGTTATTTCACTCCATTACTGACTAGCACTTTATCATAGCCAAGTCGAGTTATTGCAGTCAATACGAATATAGTTAATATTACTTATATTCATACTAAATACAGTTTTAATTTTTAGAGTATCCAAATTTTATATTTAAGTTCAAATATATAAAAAATAATAAACCGTTATTGTAGTTTTTGAAAATACGATTAAATAAGGCTTCTACTTTTATTTGAAATAATCCCAAATTGAATGTGATTTATGGGCAACAACTACGCGTACGTGCGCTCTTCTGTGAGCGATTTAAGTCGGAACATTCAATGCGGAGCGGCGGGTCTGTGGTTAGCGCGGCTAGAGTCCCTATTGTGACGCGTAACCATACGACTTTTTCTTAAAATTATGATTGGATTATACGTAATTAGAGTTTTCCTAAATGTGTTGGTTTTGTTAAATTGCCAAGTTTAAGAGACTTTTTCAAATTAAAGAACGTTTGATTGTGTCTTGGTCGTTACGTCGGTGTTATTCGTGCAAATACCCACGTAAAACGCTATGCTGCTCTCGTAAAATAATGTAGTAATCGACATTTTTACGATTTTCCGTTTTTGTCAAAAATTACTTCTTCCTTTAATGTAGATTTTTTTTTATATTACTAGACACATAGTGAAATAATAAGTAAAAATGCATTATTATATGTGAAATTATGTAGTATTGTTAGTATCAATGCAGCAATGATCATAGCAGGGGCGTAGCTACCGCCGTATCAATGATACGGGGCCCCCGGGTTACAGAGGCCCCGAACGTATGTAAGCAAAAATTCTAAGGACTTCTATGGGACATAATGTTGGTTTGAATTGTTTGGCTAGCTTAGTTCCTAGGGGTATTAATTGTAAGTAATTATTTATAATCACTATATAATTATTTTAAATTCAATGCGAGAGTTTTTGTTCTTTTTGTGAAAAGTCTTTAGCCTTCATTTGGGCCCCCCAACAAATTTTAATACAGGGCCCTTCTAAGGCACGCTACTCCACTAGATCATAGACAATATTAAAATGCAGTAATCACGGATTTAGTTTAAAGTTAGAATGTAGTACTCATATAATTACCAGTAAGAAACGCAGTACTAGCGTTTTTTATGTCTGTAGTTGCCATAACATAGGGGAGACCGGGGATGGTTGACTATAGGGGCAGGTTGACTTACTGTCAAAAACTCGACCTACTCGAAAGTCTTGAGTCATCCAACTAGGCGCGAGAAACCGTTGTCTCGGGGGGAGACAACGGTTTCCGGCTTTTTTTTTCAACGGGCTTTTCTTCAACGGGCTCAGTCGTCGAGAGCGCGGCATCGCGTACACGTGTCGTTTAGGAGAAGGAGCACATTATCGAAAAACAAATCATGTAAGTAATTATTTTCCTCTTAATATATTTTTTAGTAATGACTATATACTCATTGTTATTTACTTTCAAGTAATTTAAAGTAAAATTTTAATTGTTAATCTTTTTATTACGTATCATACTTTTTTATTTCGCCGCAATTTTGAAGCTATACCATGTCGTTAAAAATTAAAACGTGTTCCGGGGCTGGTAGACCAACTTATTGCGGGGCTGGTTGACCACCTAGTCAATCTACCCCATAGTTGTCTGGATATACTTTACATTGAATAAAGTCAGTCTTTTTTTTAATTCGTCAAATGCTTGTTGTTACAGAACCATGCGAACGTACAAAAGAAAGACTGATCGAGGAAATACACCCAAAGATGTCTTCGATAGAGCATGTCAACAAGTAATTTTTGATAAAAAAAGTATTAATTCTACAGCAAAAGAATTTTCTATACCATATAAAACACTCCAACGCCACGTGGTAAAGATGAAGAAAATTTTAGAAAGTAATCCGGAATTAACGAGATCTCAATTGACTTTGGAGAGCACTGGCTACACTAAAAATAGACAAATATTTAGTGACGAAGAAGGACTCTCATTAGAAAATTATCTCAAGAGGGCAGCTGATATTTTTACGGATTTACTCCTTATGAAACACGAAAATTTGCATATGAGTTTGCGAAAAAAAATAAGAAATCTATCCCTGACTCGTGGAACAAAAAACTGATTGCTGGTGAAGATTGGTTGGGAAGTTTTATGAAACGTCATCCTTCGCTCTCTATACGATGTCCTCAAGCTACGAGTTTATCCCGAGCCACTTCATTTAACAAAAACAACGTAAATTTCTTCTTCGACAACTTGAAAATTGTTTACCAACGTTTGAATCTAAGTCCTGGCGATATTTGGAACGTAGATGAAACAGGGCTTACAACAGTACATGTTCCTAATAGAGTGATAGCTTGTCGAGGAATCAAAAACTTGGGAAAAATGACTTCTGCTGAACGAGGTACGCTGGTGACAGTCGCGGTTGCAATCTCAGCTCTTGGTAATATGGTTCCTCCGTTCTTCGTATTCCCACGTGTGCACTACAAAGAACATTTTATTAGGGGTGGCCCGGTTGGTTCAGATGGCGATGCTAATCCTTCTGGATGGATGAAAGAAGATAATTTTAAAAAATTCTCTAAACATTTCGTAAAATATGTAAAACCCAGTAAAGAAAAGCCTGTTTTATTACTTCTAGACAACCACGACTCGCATTTGTCTATTGAAGTACTTGACTATTTTAAAGAAAATGGAGTAACGGTTTTATCATTTCCTCCCCACTGTAGCCATAAGCTGCAGCCTTTAGATAGAACTATTTATGGGCCACTTAAGAGATATTTCAACAAAGCATGCGACAACTGGTTAGCAAGTCACCCAGGTAAGACTATTACGATCTATGACATACCTGAGTTGGTGGAAACATCATTACCATTGGCAGCTACAATTGATAATATACAATCTGGATTCCGAGTCACTGGGATATCACCACTCAATGAAAATGTATTTCCTGACTCGGAGTTTAGCGGATCTTATGTAACTGACAGACCAACACCAGACTTTCCTATTAGTGCACTACCAACAGCGTCAGTTATTGACAGTGCTGCTCTATTAACTTCTCAAGCAAGACCTTCACATGACCCAGGTAACGACACTGATGTTGCTTTTTTAATAAGTGATGAATTTGACATGCCAATATCAACATTACATACTTCTTGCGAGTTGCCTTGTATTTTAGACGCAATTTCAGGAACGAATGAAGATAAAGGATTTAAAACTCCTGAAAAAAGTCCGGTGACCCAAGCAAGAAGTTTGAATATGCCCAGTACTTCGTTTAATTTACCTGAAGAGATAAGACCATTTCCAAAAGCTGGACCACGTTTGGAAAATAAAAAAAATATTCGAAAAAGAAAAAGCACTATTTATACAGACACACCAGAAAAAGAAAATCTAATGGAACTCAAAATAAAACAGCAATCTCGTAAGACGCTGACAAAGAAATCAAAAAAACCAAAGATAATGGAAGAAAAATTTAAAGGGGCTAGTAAGGGTAAGGGAAAAGGAAAAAAAGCTTTTCATGAGACGAATAAGAGGAATAATGACGAAGACAAAAGTGATGAGGATGATACATTTTGTTTAGAGTGCACTGAATCTTATAGTTTGAGTATTCCTGGAGAGGAATGGAGTATTCCTGGAGAGGAATGGATTCAATGCACTACGTGCAAGTTATGGGCCCATGCAAAATGTACAAATGGCAATATTTTGTTCTATGAATGCAAAAATTGCACCTCTGATTTTGAAGACTGATTTGATAGCCTGATTCCAAAAATGTGATCTCTTACGTTAGAAATATATAATTATGTTAGTTAAATTAGTTAAGACTGTTTTTTTTACCAAATTATTAAATTAATTAGAAGAGGAATTAAGAAGTATTTAGTTGAGAAATGTTCTAATCTATGATTGTTTATTATACTTTAAAGTATATTATGTTCTTTTTTTAATTGTCAGTATTAAAAACTTTGTTTTAATTAAAAAATATAATTACTAATACTATTTATATTTCGTTATCCTCTTTATTCCCTTAATGTGCATCAATTATTTCTTAGGTCAACTTACCCCTAGGGACAAGTCAACCAACCCCAGGCATGGGGTAGGTTGACTCATATTTCGTGTTCTACAAAATGAAACTTGTGCACTATATGATAATTAATTACAGGCTTTTTGTTATTTTTTTCCAAAGCTTAATAGTTTATCTAACAGAGGTATTGGTTTTTTCGATAATATACACTGAAATAATGAAAATACAAGCGTTTTCATTGAAAATTGGTCAACCATCCCCGGTCTCCCCTACACCAAGAAAGATACAAAAACACCCGGGAGTTTTATCAAAAAGATGTCGATTTATGTGCCGTTGATCACAGAAACATATTTTATTCTGCCGATTTGCAGAAAGTGGTTATGCTGCCAAGGATCGACATGTTTAACACTTTCACTGTCCAAGCAGTTATTACAAATTTCCCGCAACGTCCAAGCAATTATATATACTATGTGCTGGGTACCGCATGTGGATCCCTGAACTCCCTGGGCTGATTGGGACGAGTAATTAGCATCAGGAGTCCGAGGTCCCACATGTGACCCATTTTTAATTTTAATCTGTGGGGTTATTTTTAATCTATAGTACATTTTGTTCAGGCGTGTCACTTTGTAAAAATCTGAGGTATGGAAAATGGTGGCGCGATTTTCAAATTTGTTCGCATTACTCGTGGGGTATTGAGGTTTAAGAGTTTGCAGTGTATATACTCAACTTATTTATTGAACTATAAGATGTGGGGTATTGAGGTTTAAGGGCTTGCGATTTATTTATATGGGGTTTGTAGTAATATGCGATTTATTTCCTAATTTCAGCTATGGAATTCCATACCTTGAAAAACTTGAGGTATGGAGTGCTCCATACCTTCCATAGTGGAAGTGACACCCCTGATTTTGTTATTAATCTATAGCAATCAGCTGTTTAAATTTTTTAATAAAATTGTTTAAATAAAAACGAAAGATGTCTCGCAGAACAAATGACGAAGATATTTTACGTTATTTAGAAAACAGTGACGAAGAATTAGATTATTGCAGTGATTCGTCATTAGATCCGTTCCGCGCTAGTGATGAAGATGATCCTGATTATGAAGTGCCTCCAGATAATCGACATGATTCAGGAAGTTCTGATAATGAAACATTGGAAAATATAAATAGATTCATTCAACAACAAATGCACGTTGACGAGGAATTATTTTTACCGCAAAATGATTCAGACCAGAGAGATTTTGACGACATTCCTATGAATATCAGTCACCAAATCCCATCGAAAATCAGGTGTCGTCGGTGTCTGCAGCTTCACTAAGTGAACTTTCTTCTCAAAATAGCCTTCGAAGTGAACCACATGAACATTTGAAAACTAAAGATATGAACAACGGATGGAGTTATACCATTCGTGATCTACAACGTTTACCATTTACTGCTGAAGAACGTTTAGGCGTCGATGTTGAAATTCATTCCACTGTGGAGTCTATTTTTTGTTATATCATAGACGACGAGTTTTTGGATATGACAAACAAATATATATGCAGCGCAAATTAGTTCGGACGCTGGTAGACTTGCTAGATGGAAAGACGTGGATCGGAATATGATGAAAAAATTTCTAGGAATTATTCTTTACACCGGTATTGTTGTGAAGCCGACCCTGGAATGCTATTGGAAAAAGGATCCAACTTATTACCATCCACTCATGCACAAACTAGGCATGTCCTATAATACATTTACTCTCAAGTCGACTGATGTCGATGACTCATCAAGTCGAAAACCAATTACAAAACGCAGGAAAGGTGTATAATTTTACTGATTTCATTGATTGTGTGCAGTTAGTAAAATCAGGAAAATTCACACAGAAAAGGCTACGGAAGTTACTGACTTCTGCAAATATATGGATATGTTAATGTGGAAAAACACAGAAATAAAAGCAACTTTATTGTGAAGACAGAGTATGATGGAATAATACACAAAAATGAGTTCCTTAAAGTTACATACTTATAGTCATTGTGAATTATACTTATAGTCATTGTGAATTCCTAATCCCTTCAAAAACATTCTTCCAAGAAGTATAACAGAAGCAAGAAAATTTATACGTGGTAGAGCCATGCTGCAGCTATATTAGTAGTATAGTAATAGCACGAATGGCTCGGCTCGACCGGGGAAGGCCCACGCTCTCACAGAATACCAGCTTAAAATGGCAGCTTGACACTGCTGTGTTTCGTATTGTAAGTGTAGAGAACCGGAGATCCATTTTACTGGAAAAGAGGCATTCCATCTTAGTCCTTACGGGTGACGACGCATCTGCATTTTGATTCTTTATTGAGGATAGATGTAGATGTATATGGGTCACAGCAACCACTTACCATCAAGTGGACCGTGTGCTCGTTTGTCACCCTATCCTATAAAAAAAATTAAGTATAATTTCTTCGTTATCGTAAGTTCACACTCGTCTATCACAGTTATCGCTGTTTTGCCTCTGCTCTATTTTCGCTCCCGTTCGCTCACCGCTCTGGTCGAGTATTATAGCGCCCTAAAGGTTTTTAAAAAATCGATTTGAATTTTTTTTCCTTTATTCAGAACTCAAATGTTTAATTCGTCTTTTCAAAAACGGACGGTAAGTGGTTGCTGTGTCCCATAGACATCTACATCTATCCTCTATAAAGAATCAAAATGCAGATGCGTTATCACCCGTGAGGGCTAAGATGGAATGCCTCTTCTCCAGTAAAAAGGGTCTCCGGTTCTCTACACTCACCATACGAAACACAGCAGCGTTACGCTGCTATTTTACACTGGTATTCTGTGAAAGCGCGGTCCTTTCCCGGTCGAGTCGACCCATTCGTACTACAACTATACTATTAATATAGCTGCAGCGTAGAAATAACTACCACGTAGAAATAACTACGCTACCGCAATTACGAGCTACTTTACTACCGAATGACAAATCTAACCATTTAGTGGCGGTGTAAACATATTCACTACCCCATATAGTTGCGTGGGTGTTGTTACAGGTGACAGAAGGAAATCAAACAAGAGATGATAACAATAACTCAAGACAAAATTGCGAGAAAACCGCGTCAAAACTACGAGGCAATCTATGGTGATGCCTATGTTTAACAGTGGATTTTTATCCGCTGTAATTGTACTGGTAATTATCAAATACGAAACTCGACCCTTACAGCTTATATAATTTAGATTAAACATATGGATCCTAAACATATGAATCCTAAACATGATGAAACAAATTGTTCCAACGGAACCTAAGTTATACATATGCCTTATGGAGGATTCTAATATAAAGATTGCTTAAAATAAAATAACTCCAGAACTCATACGTGTTGTCCAGGTACTACGTAGCTGGCTTGCGTTGGCGCTGACCGTGGTGGAGGGGGGGGGGGGGGGGCATGGCATATGGATACGTCAACGCATCACTACTTCGTGGAATTTTAGTAGCGTCATAACCATCCATATAAAACCAACCAACCATAACGCATCGCACTTTATACATGGGATCTACGCTTGTATCGTGCAGAATATGATTCACATAGTAGTAGACATTTTAATGATAGTCTCTAACATTAGAAAATTTATCGGAATGTTTGAAAGCAACGGTTCGACAGTAAAAACTTCAAATACACAGGTCGCCTGTGACCTGTAAGAAGTTAGAAACCAATAAAGAAGCAATGATTGAGTTTGTCAAAATACATCCTTACCAATTCGAATACGAGGTTAAGAATTCAACATTTAAAAAAATCGCCTTCGAAGTTGATTACAACGAAAGACTTGCATCTCAAAGTCTACAAAATTCAGATAATTCGAGAACTTACAAGATTCAGATTTTGCTAATCGATAAAATTTTGCAATTAAAAGAAATACAAAAAAAAAACAAATAAGTCCATTAACTAAGAAAACATTCTGTTTAGCGACGAAACCAACTTCACGTCAACAAGCAAGCGGTATTACTGCTACTGTGCGGAGAAGAATCCCAAAAAAAGGAGCATGAACGAACGCTTCGTAACCCAAAAGCCAATGACTGGGCTGGGTGCTTAGCTAATGAGATACAAGATCCGGTACAAAGACCGACGAGGGCAAGCACACACAGAATTACTACACACACTATCTCTACAGCCCATTCAATCACAGGTAACGCGGCTGGGCATAGGCCTCGCCCAAAAATTGTCTCAAAGTACGGTTTTGAACCAACTGCCTGCATGTTTCATCAGGTTGTCACTCCATTTAGTTTGGGGTCGCGGGCCACGAGGCTCTCATAGAATACCACAGGGTAAAATAACAGTTTAATGTTGCTGTTTCGTATGGCGAGTGTAGATAACCGGAGGTCCTTCATAAAGGTAACGAGGTACTTTATTTTTGTCCTTAGGGTTGACAACATTTTGGTTTTTAATCTTTGGTTCAGAGATACTACATCGTTAGATGTAGTATCTCTGAGCCAAAGCCATCAATGGAATTGACTGTATGCTTGTTTGTATTTTTATTCTATACAAAATTTTAATATACTTTTGGCCCCAGAGTTGCAAGTAAATAAACAGACAGAAAAAATATTATTTAGAAAAGACAACATAATGTTTTCTAAATAATTTTCCAAGCAGTGTTAAATTTTTTTCATCATCAACTTTCAAACATGTCCTGATATTTTGGACAACCTATACAACAACATAAGTTATTGAAATGTTTTATATTGTAGTAGCTGGCCCCGGCGCGTTGCTGTCGCA